CAGCTCTGCCATTCCGTGTTCCAAGCTCCCTCCCAGCTCTGCCATTCTATGTTTTAAGGTCTATTAGAACATTCTCTCTTCTTCTGTTCTATCTTCTAACACTCTGTGTTCTAGTATTCTCTGCTGTTATAGTCTTCAAGTTGCTGGGCAGCAGGAGCCCAAGCCTCTAGGCCCTGTCCTATGGTGTGACTGTCCTGTGGTGCTGGGGATGGCCATTTGGCAGTGGGCAGGATATTGGGTAAGCATCTTTCCAGGGTTGTGCCCCTGTCCCTACCTGTCCCGGCCCGATATAGTTGCAGTGCGCCTCCACGTGGCAGCTGCCCCGAGTCTCCTCCTCACATGGGTTAATGGCGACACAGACTTTGCCGTCTCCTTTCCAGCCTTTGTTGCACACACATCGCTGGGGCTCTGAGACGCCCCTGATACACTGGGCCTAGGGGAGCCATGGGGAGGCCTTCTCAGGGTTGCAGAAAAGGTCACCTCCACAACCCTGCTGGAGCCTGTGCACAGACCAGAGCCCAGGGGCCTTGGCAGCCTAGGTCCTTTCCCTAACTCAAGAGTTTGACCCACACACAGCTCCCCCGGGTAGGACTAGCCTCTCTCTTCTATCTAGATATCGATGTCCGTCCCTCCCATCTTTGTAGGCCTTCTCTTTTGGGCAGCCCTCCCCCATCTCTTAGAGTCCTTGTGTCTCCTCCAGGTCTCAGGCCTCAGGTCCAGGCCCATGAGTTCAGCAGGGAGAGGCTGGGAATGCCCTGAGGAAAAGGGGACAGGAAGGTCACTAACGTTCTCAGAGCAACCGCCTCGATCCGGTTGGTCACAGGGATGCCTGACCTCACAGGAGAAGCCATCTCCCTTGAAGCCAGGGGGACAGACACACCTGAGGAGAGTGGAGAGCAGAGGGGTCAGGGCTCAGGAGAGACCACATGACTGGTGGGAGAGATTGGGAGAGGACACGTGGTAGAAAAAGTAGTGTGGGCTTAGGAATGGGGTTGGACTCACCTGGCACGGCCTTCAAGGGTAACACAGCGGGCACGGGGGTGGCAATGCTGGGCCAGGCCAGTGGGGCCACAGTCGGCTGAGGACTCATTGCAGAAGGGGCCAGTGAAGCCCTTGGTGCACGTGTCCCTTTGACATACACCCCCACTGCCTGGCCGATTGTCACAGATACCATGGACACATCCACACTCTGGAAGGGAGAGGAGGCAAGAGAGGTGGAGAAAGGGAGGAGGCCGTGAGCAAGAAACTCCCCCTACCCCACGTTTGTCCCCTCCCCCATCCCCTGGTAGCTCTGTGTCCAGTGGAGGGCTCCTTCTGCTACCCCACCCTAGTACCCTTGGACGAGTGAGGAATTCAAGGCCAATGGGGAGAAGGAACCAGGGTAATTGACATGTTTGGTCTGACTCCTTGGTGGCTGGTGACCTACTCCTGAGGTCTTCCTATCTTCTCTCTCCAATTCAAACAGGTGTGTGTAGATGTGTTTGTGTGAACGTGTGCATGAGTCACACCGGATGTTTGATTTTGTAGGCTGGAGATTTCAAGCCCCCCATTCTACTGTGTCATCTACCCCTCCCCCCACCCCTATACACACACACACACACACACACACACACACACACACTCACACTCACACAGTCAGGAAGTTAATGTCTGACTGAAATCCTCCCTGCTTCAGCAAAGAGTCACAAGATTCTGAGTTAGAAGGCTCCTTAGTGGGCATCTGGGCCAACCGGTTACTGAACCCCCTCAACAGGATCCCTGACAAATGGCCATCCAGTCTCTACTAAAACACCTCCAGTGATGGGGATCTCACTACTTCCCAAGGCATCTTTAGAAAGTTCTAAGTAGAAGTCAGCTTTCCTTCCTATCAAGCTGAAATCTGCCTCTCTTCAGCTCCCATTAGTCGCTCCTACTTCTTCCCTCCTGGTCACGGCAGCAGAGGTCTGATCCCATGACAGTCCTTCAAATACTTGAGGACAGCCATGGCATCTTTGCTAAACCTTCCCTCCTCCAGGCTGAACATCTCTGACTCCTTTAGTGGATGCCTCTGTGATAAAAGTGCTCATCATTTCCCACCTGGCTACTTTCCTGAACTTCTTCAGCTCCAGAAACAAACTCATGCCTCCTCAGTACACCTCTCCTTCCTGTCTCCCTCCCTCTGGTTGGAGAAGGTACAAGCAGACCTCTGGGAGCTCCTCCCTAATCTGCCACCATTTAAGGAGAGCAGCCAGTGATTTCTCCTCATGTCCCACCCAGCTTCTTTCCTAGATTTCATTATCTTCAGAAACTTTTCATTCTGCAAGATGAAATCAACCCAGAAACTCACACCTCCTCAGATCATCTCCCAGCCCAGCACGACTTCATCCTATCCCCTAAGCTCTTTCCCCTACATTAGACTGTGAGCCTCTTTTTATGTGATATCTCCCCCTTTTGACTGTGAGCTTCTTGAGGGCAGGGCCCATGTTGTGTTGTGCCTTTCTTTGTATCCCCAGCTTAATCCATGTGGATTGATTATTGATTAATTGATCTCGTCCCAGCAGTGTTGCCCTCCCATGAGGACTCTAGCTTGTCTGTATCTTTCCTACAAAATGCTGCTTCAAACTGACCCCAAGTCTCTTGACTCTCCCTTGTTGCAGTTTTTCCTCTGGCTCTGACTCTTCGGTCTGCCAGGGGACCCCGCTTCTTTGGGAGGGAAAGGATGGAATCTGGACCCTGGGCACTGGGCTAGATCAGGCAGGGTGGTCTGGGCAGGGGGCTCTGACCTTCCTCACATTGTTCTCCATGCCGGTTGGGATCTGCACAGACGTGGCAGGCGATGCCCTTGAAGGCTTTTAGGCACACACAGGCCCCATTGCCCTGGATACCATCACTGCACTGAGAAGGGGAACCAGGCTCAGTCTGGGGCTGCCCCCCAGCCCCTTGGGCCTCAGGGGCTGCCCCCAGCCCCTTGGGCCTTTTGTTGTTTCCTCTCCCAGAGAGGTCCCTTCTCTCCCCATCGACTGTCTCCGACCTGTTCCTTCCCCTCCAGTCTAACCCTTCATCCTCCTGTCTTGCTCCCCTCCTATCCCAAGCGGGATCTGTGGGGCCAGGCAGTGAGGATGGTGAACTGCTGCGCCAACTGTGTGCGACCTCATCAGGGAACTAGGAGGATTACATCCATCTCCTGGGATGGGAGAAGGCAAGACTGTCAGAGAGCTGGATTAGGGTTATTGAAAGGTAGAGGGAAAGCTGCATAATTCCTATTCCTATTCTGATGTCCAGGGTCAAACTCAGTAGTTGGGGAAGATGAGCCCCGAGAGAGAGAGACCCTCTGAGCTATTGACTGGAAGGACTGTGGTTGGCACCCTGAGCCAAAGTCATAGTAGCCCCATCCTAGTTATAGGTGCATGCGAGGGAATGATTGAAACTCACATTGCCTTTGCCGTAGCAGGGATTCGAGAACCCCCCAGGACACTGGGAACAGTCAGGGCCAAAGAAGCCTTTACAGCAGCCAAGGTTCTGTAAGAGACAGAAGATTTCCACTCTTCAGGGCTAGGGATCAGAATAAGCCTTTGGAGTAACCAGCCCTGCTTCCCAGCCCTATTCCTTTGGGACTAAGAGTAAGGAGTCTCTGTTAGCCCTGCGTCCCATTTCCGACTTTGATACTAATTCGCTGTGTGATCTTGGAGAAGTCCCTTTCCCATTTTCCTATCTACAAAAGGAGGGCTTGGGTCAACTGTTCTCTAAGATCAACTCATCAGGCCAACCAGCATTTATT